ACGCCTTTGCATAATCTATGACATACAGATAGACATTCCTCTGGTATTCCCTGCTTTCAGCTAAGATCCATCTAACATCAGCTACAATATCCCTAGTGCCACAACCCCTTCTAAACCCAGCCTGGACTTCTGGCAGTTCTCTGCTGATGTGCTATTCCAGTCAGTTTTGGATAATCTTCAGTAGAATCTTGCTTGCATGTGAAATCAATGATTTTGTTCTATAGTTTCCACATTCTGTTGGGTTACCCTTCTTTGGAATGGGAACAAATCCAGTCACTTGGCCAAGTGGTTGTTTTCCACATTTCTTGGCACAACTTGGTGAGCACATCCAGGGCAGCATCAGTTAGTAGAAATATGTCAATTGGTATACCATCTATTCCTGGGACCTTGTTTTGCTATTTCCTTCAGAGCAGCTTGTGCTTCTTCCTTCATCACCACAAGCTCTTGCTTATATGTTATTTCATTAAATTCTTCTGTGTCTGCCAATTCCTTTTGATACAGTGATTCAGTATAGTCATGCATTATGTTTTATAAAATTAATCATCATTGGACTCTGCTCACTATTACCCCATCTTTTCAGGTCCCCCCAAATCTTTCCCATTTTGTTTACCCCTTTCCCTCCACCCACAAAATTGTCTGAACCCATGATTTCCTTCCTGCCAATCCTCGCCCCTTTTTCTTGAGGAGCTGCTAGAGGATGCAAATTACCAGAGAGAAGCTACCTTTTTGTTAGCAGCCCAACTCTATGAATTATACCACCAGCACGTTTGACATTTTTAAAGACATAGAACATTGTAACTATAATTGAAGATCCTCTAGTATCCCCTTCAAGCCTTCACTTCACTTGTTCTCTCCAAAGAAAAGTAATACCCTGAGTCAGATATGTAACCATTTCCTTTTAAGATCACCCACTTCTCTACACACATGTACACTTAACATATGATCTCACCACACACAATAATTTCTTCACCATAATTTTCAAAAGCTAAATACATTGTAGCTATCAGATATGTATTATTTGAATAAAACCCAAATTTGCTTTATGAATTTTCCTTCAAATCACAATAAAAAGTAATGAATTGGCTAAATGTTAGTAATTGTAAAAATCCAGTCAACAAACAAAAATGAAAGCAAAACATGTGTTTGTGATGAAAGTGCAGAGGCCACCAAGGGCTCTGGAAAGCTAGCTGCCTCAGCAGTTTCCTCACATCCCTTTCTGAGCAGGAGCACACATGCTGCTTTGTGCACAGAGTTGCCACCTCACAGCATCCCATATAGCCATGCTCTCTAAAGGCCTCCCTGCCTGGCCCCATGGTGCTGGGCCTCCCAGAGGCCAGGGTGCTGTGGTGGGCAGCCCTGAGTGACTTGTAGGGACAAGTCCTCACTGACTGC